GTATTAATAAATAAACAACAGAATTCAAGGAATTAGCATATAAACTATAATTGAACCTACTTTTAAAGACTTACAGGTGCATGCTGCTTCAATGAAAATTTATTTTAGTGTTTTGATAGTCAAAATAAAATCAGTTTCATTGTTTAAGAAACAGTTTAGGATAAAGTTGTATACAGACTACTAAAAAGTGCTTTATCAGGTGAGTATTCTCTTCTAAAATTTCATGTATTCAAGGATAGAGAGGGTCAAATGAAAAATCAAAAGTACAAAATTCAACTGATCCACTCATTTTGTGTGCTAGATACTGGGACTAACTCTGTAAAAACAAACCATGGCTTGGCCCTCAGCTGACAAACTTGTATGTTTAACAACTGTATAAGATAATTTTGGGGGCACCTGGGTGGCTCAGTTGGTTAAATGTCTGCCTTTGTCTTGGATCATGATCCTAGGGTCCTGGGATCCATCCCTGCAGCAGGCTCCCTACTCAGCAGGGAGTCTGCTTCTCCCTCTCCCCCTGCCCCTCCAGCCCACCTGTGTGCGTGCTCTCTCTCTCAAATAAATAAGAAATCTTTAAAAAAATAACTTTGAATAACTTCTGTGTCATAGAATATATTTTACAGTGAAATGTGTAGGTTGACTTTCTAGAGAAGACTTGTTCAAATACCATTTACAGTTTCACAACAGATAGACTACCATTTGATTTATTTTGTTTTAGGAGCATCCTGCCTTAACCAAGGAGCCAGTTTGGAGTTAAGCTTCTGTATATCCTCTTAACCACTTTCACGCAGCTTTCTCTTACTACTGTAGAGCTCAAGAGGTGGAGGAAGCAATGAAATACACCGCTAGGTCTAATGGGAAAGGACTAATGAGTAACGTTCATTGTGTTGAGCTAGTGATATGGAACAGTTTATTGGGGAAAGTCACTAGGCTATCCTATAGTCACCATAGTAAAAAAGAGAACTAGGACATGGTTATGCCCATACTTTTTGCTGTTGAGGACAACAGATTTTTAAGTTTATCACATCTCTAGGTGTGGTTCCAAGACTAGAGATTTCTTTCTTTCTTTTCTTTTTTTTTAAGATTTTATTTATTTGAGAGAGAGAGAGAGAACACACTAGTGGAGGGGAGAGGCAGAGGGAGAAGGAGAAGCAGACTCCCTGCTGAGCAGGAAGCCTGACACAGGGCTCTATATCAGGGTCCCCGGGTCATGACCTGAGCCGAAGCAGATGCTTAACTGACTGAGCCACACAGGCGCCCCCAAACTAGAGATTTCTAAAACAAAAGTTATATGAGGAAATTCTTTATGGGGACACAGAGTGCTCTGAGCAGCTCACGTTTGTTTTTAAAAGATGTATATGATTGACAAATGGAAGGAGCACATAATCACATTTATAGAGGGCTAAGTAGACTGTAAGAAATGAGCATTTAAGAATTTTCTTCTCTACAGGCCAAAGCTCAAAAGGAAGGAAGAGGTAGGTTTACTGTCAGAAGATGTTGTTAATGTTAGCTGTTTGTAGGCAGAAATAGACATGTGCCATTCTTACTTTGCTTCCATAATCTTGAACTAGCAGAATTACTTTTCTTTTATTTCTTTTTTTGTTTCTTTTTTTTTTTTTTAATGAAAGACAGAGAGCATGAGAGGGGGAAGGGTCAGAGGGAGAAGCAGACTCCCCGCCGAGCAGGGAGCCTGATGCGGGACTCGATCCCGGGACTCCAGGATCATGACCTGAGCCGAAGGCAGTCCCTTAACCAACTGAGCCACCCAGGCGCCCCATCTGTTTCTTAAACCCCACAAATTATGTGGCATTTGTTTTTCTCTGACTTATTTCACTTAGCATAATACCCTCTAGTTCCATCCATGTCATTGCAAATGGCAAGAGTTCATTCTTTTTGATGGCTGAGTAATACTCCATTCCAATATTCCTGTGTGTGTGTGTATAATATATATATATCATATATATTATATATATTGTAACTGATGAAGTCCCAATAGTTCATTTTTGCTTTTGTTTCCCTTGCCTTTGGAGACGTGTCTAGCAAGAAGTTGTTGTGGCTGAGGTCAAAGAGGTTGCTGCCTATATATATATATATATATATATATATATATATATATATATATATATATATATATATATATATATATATATATATATATCTTCTTTATCCATTCCTGTGTTGATGGACATCTGGGCTCTTTTCTATAGTTTAGCTGTTTTGGACATTGCTACTATAAACATTGGGGTGCAGGTGCCCCTTCGAGTCACTATGTTTGTATCCTTAGGATAAAAATACCTAGTAGTCAGTTGCTAGGTCGTAGGGTAGTTCTATTTTTAACATTTTGAGGAACCTCCATACTGTTTTCCAGAATGGCCGCACCAGTTTACATTCCCACCAACAGCATAAGAGGGTTGCCCTTTCTCCACATCCTCACCAACATCTGTTGTTTCCTGAGTGGTTAATTTTAGCCATTCTGACTGGTGTGAGGTGGTATCTCATTGTGGTTTTGATTTGTATTTCCCTGATGATGAGTGATGTTGAGCATTTTTTCATGTGTCTGTTGGCTATTTGTATGTCTTCTTTGGAGAAATATCTGTTCATGTCTTCTGCCCATTTCTTGACTGGATTATTTGTTCTTTGGTGTTGAGTTTGATAAGTTCTTTATAGATTTTGGATGCTAGCCCTTTGTCTGTAAGTCATTTGCGAATATCTTCTCCCATTCCATAGACTGCCTGTTAGTTTTGTTGACTGTTTCCTTTGCTATGCGAACACTTTTTATCCTGATGAAGTCCCAATAGCTCATTTTTGCTTTTGTTTCCCTTGCCTTTGGAGACGTGTCTAGCAAGAGGTTGTTGTGGCTGAGGTCAAAGAGGTTGCTGCCTGTATTCTCCTACCGGATTTTGATGGATTTCCTATCTCACATTTAGGTCTTTCATCCATTTTGAGTTTATTTTTGTGTATGGTGTAAGAAAGTGGTCCAGTTTCATTCTTCTGCATGGGGCTGTCCAATTTTACCAACACCATTTCTTGAAGAGACTGTCTTTTTTTCCATTGGATATTCTTTCCTGCTTTGTTGGAGACCATAGAGTTGACCATAGAGTTGAGGGTCTATTTCTGGGTTCTCGGACTGTACAGTATTGATTATGAATTGTGTTTTTCTTCCACTCAGCAAAGAACAAATACTGTGATAAAAATAAGAAATGGCATAATATGATTCCATCTAAATGGAACTCGGGTTGGTAGAGCCCCTGAATGCCTGGCAGAAACCACTTCTGTGACCAGGGATTCTTCTGTGTTATCCCTGTAAAAATCTTTCAGGCTTTCTTCTTTGATCAGAGAGGGGTCCCCCTTCCTCAGCATCTATTTTTGGCAAGGCAAAACAGAGACTTTTTGGTCTGTGTTTATTAGTTTAGAATCCGAATGTTATCTCTAAACTTTAGCAGCACCCTGGTTTCCTGCTTGTATTAACACCCTCTCATTTGGTTATGCTTGCTTATACCTGTGAGAAAAGACCAAAAGGGGGGATTAGAAATGCTACATCATGGAATAATAGTTAAAAGAATGAACTGATCTGTAGTAACCTTTTGACTTATCCTTGTCATAATTAAGCTGTTCCAAATAAAACAAAGAGTATATTTTAATTGCCTAGTCATTTCTTACTCAATATAGTAATCCATTATGTTTTAGCATTGCCCTTTTGTAATCCTGTGAAGTCTTATCTAGTGAACAGTGTTTGGATTGCTTTGGTTTTCATTTTAAGTTCAACCTTTACTATAAATTCACTGCTAACAGATTTCTGCAATCCTCTATTTTTCTGCTTAACATTTCTTTGAGACCTCTAATAGTCCTCTTTTTATCTCCCATTTTCCCCACAAATAAGAAAAAAAAATCTTTCATTCTGTTATTGAATCACCTTGTATCTAGGAGTCAAGTGAGTGGACAGAAAATGCCTGTTCAGTCAGTGATAGGCAGAAGGCTCTAAGGTAGGGTCCATTTGGCCTTTTGGAAGATGGCCAGTGTGGGTGGAAGCATGGCTAGTGGGGGGTTAGTGAATGGGTTTGAGTCAGAGATGGCCAAAGCTAGAACATGTGGAAGTTTGGATTTTATCCCAAGTGCAAAAAGAAGTAATGGCGGGGGTGGGGGGCACTAAACAGAGTAGTGATTATTTGGTTTATGTTCAGAATCTCACTCTGGCTTCTGTGTAAGTGGTGGGAGCAGGAAGGAGGCAAGAATGAATGCAGGGAGACAGATTGGAAGGCTGTTGCAGAATCCGAGATGGGAAATGATGGTGGCTTTGATTAGGGTGGAGGCTCTGGAAATGGAGAGAAGTGGACATAGGGCATGTTTTGGACTGACAAAAGTTGCTACTGGATTGGATTTGAGGGATAGAAGTGAAAGGAGGGATAGGAGTGAAAAGGAGAAATCAGAAACTTCTGATGACTTCTAGCTTTTGGGTCTGTTCTGCTGGGTTGATGGTGCTATTATTTGCTTAAGACAAGGAAAACTAGAGCAGAGGAAAAATTGGGGGAGGATGGAATTAAGAGTTCTGTTTCCGCTGTCTGAAATTTGAGGTGCTTATTTGACTTTCTATATTTGCAATGTATACGAATGAGTTTGATGGCTCTGGAGCTTGGTGGACATAGATCAGGGATGGAGACATGATAAGCACCTAGAAGTTATCAGTATATAGATGGTATTTAAAGCTATAGATGGAAATTATCTTGGGTAATTGTCATATTCTCTGACCTATACCTTGTCCTTCCCCTACTATTGTAAAATTACGCCAACATTATGTAATATAGGTATATGTTATTAATTATAGTACTATAATAATTTGTTTTTAGTAAAGCAATGTTGTTTTTAGTAAAATACAGTAACATACTCTGATTTCTTTTTCCTGTCTATAGCTAAATGGTTTAAGGGTATTCAGTCACTACTATCAATATTTAACTGGAGATCTAACAGTTATGTGTTCTGTCTTCTGTGGTTTTTTTCGTAGGCAAAGTCATTAATAAAGATTTGCAACATTACCTGAGTCTTCAGTTTCAGAAAGGATCAATTGACCACAAATTGCAGCAAGTGATCAGAGATAATCTCTACTTGAGAACCATTCCATGTAAGTATGAGATTGAATAAAAGAAAGGCCAATGTATCCTTATTTAACTAATCAAACATGTAGAAGTAATTCAGTAGAGTATCTTATATCAGATTGGGAAGACTGAGTTGGGGCACTAGAATGAAACACAAATTGGATAAGGAGAAAAGTTTTCCAAGGACATGCAGGGCTTTTGTTTTTAAAGTAGAAAAACTAGAAGATTCTATATTGTAACTTTAAAAACAGTCATTAGACTTTAAGAGTTTAAGACTATCCATGTACATTCTGCTAACTAAATTTTCTTCTATAAATCAGTTCCAAATGTTTATTCAGTAAGAATAAATAATAAACTTTTTTCACTCTCAGTGCCTTGTACACTGAGAACAAACATTTTTGTCTTAATTATGAGGACATTACTTATTTTAAGATCTGCCCCTTCCCCAAAGGAAAAAAAGGAGGAAATGCACTACCTTCTTTGTAGTAATCTATGTTGAATTTTTATCTAGATGTTTGTATATCTATTCCAGTCTTGGTAGTTTTCATAGGACCTGGTTGTTGTTGTTGTTGTTGTTGTTGTTGTTGTTGTTGTTGTAAGGATGCTGTGTGTGTGTGTGTGAGAGTGTGTGTGTGTGTGTGTGTTTTAACACAAAACAAGAAACCATGTATGCTTAGATTTTAGTTAGAACAAGTCTGGGAAAGAATAAAAAGCAGTAAACAGTAAAAGGATGTAAAAGAATGTTCTGGTTTGTATTCCTTTTCAATATATTTGTAACTTCTTGTAGATAGTAGCTCTTATAATGGCTCTGGAATTCTTTATTTCTTTTTCTTGTTATTTACTCTTCAACAGTGTCCCATCTATCACCAAGCCTGCCTAATTACGCTCCTTAAATACCAATCCTTCTGCACTGCCTTAGATGCTCACCCTTTCTTGCTTGAACTTTTTTTTTTTTAACAGATAACAATATGTAGGGGCAAAGAGCTAGGTGAAAAATACTGATCCTTGGACAAGTTACTTGATCTTCCTGAACCTCAGGATCCCCATATATAAAATATGAATAACAAGAGACACCTCATGGAGTTCTAAGAATTAAAATGAGAACATGAGGGCAAACCATGTGTCCTGGAGCAGACCCTCAGTGTCTGCCCTCTTCCCGGTTCTAGCTGCATCCCCACCTCCCACATCCCCTCAGTCTGGTCTGTCTTTAAGTGCATGTCTGACTCTTGTCCATCTACGGTTTATCCTTCAAAGTCTCTCATTGAGTACAAGTCCAGACTCTTTAACATGGTATAAAATGTTTTGGTTTTGTTTTTAAATCCAACTCCTTATGTATGATTTCCTCCTGTAAATCTACCTGGTTGGATTTCAGAATTGCAACTCCTGTCTTCTTTTCTTTGCATTTGCCTGGTATATCTTTCTCTGACTTTTATTCTTTCATCTTTCTGAAGCTCTTTGTTTTACAAATAGTGTTGGATGTTGTAGCCAGTGTGAAACTTTCTTTATATTTATTGATGTGATCCATGTCTTTAGTCTCTGTTTTGTCATGGTTTTCTATTTTACCCATATACACATCTTTTATATAAAAAGCCTTTCACCACATAGTCCATTTTATTTGATCTCTCTCTTTAGAAAGGTTTGTATCTTCATTCTACTGGCTATCTTTATACTTTTATATAATACTCTGTTCTTCCTCCCTTCCTAAATGATCTACTTATTGCTTCTTACTCCTTCCTTCTCTCCCATCATCTGACTAGAGAAATAATATTTTTTTACCCCAAACAAAGATAATCAGCAAGCTTATTCCACTTCATATATGCTTTCCTCATTTTCACTGTTTTTTTTTTAATTCTTGACCTGTGTCTATATTAACAAAACAAACAGCCATTACATATTGCACTCTCCCCTTTATTATCATTTATTCTTTATTCTGTAGGTAAATACACATCGAATGTAACTACCAATCCTTATGTTGGTGTTTCTTCAATAACTGTGGTTTTCTAAAGCTGCTTCTTCTCTACTAGATTCCCCAGGAAAGAGAGGATCATCACAGTTTGTCTATGGCCTTTATACTTTCAAGTTTGTTTGGATATATATGAAATCTTTGCCTTATATTTTCTTTCCTTGACTATCTTAATTCTATTAGTCGATTATCTGATTATCTTCTGGCATAAAGCATTGCTCTTTAAAAGTCTGAAAACAATCTAATTTTCATTCCCTTATAAATAACTTGGTATTTTGCCCGCATGGGCTGTCTCAGGGTAGCATTTTTAGTTTCATAGCTCTAGAGCTCCCTCTTCCTTTGTTAAAACAAGTTAATAAAAATATGTACTTGTACTTTCTGCTGTACTCTGCACTTTTACTTGGATCTTCTTTTAAATTTATTTGTACTGTCCTAGTTTTGCAGTTTCTCCTCAGTGTGAGGTTTTGTCCTAGAAAGGAGTTACAGTTTATTTGGTTTTCATTCATAGGGTCCAAACAGCTACAGCCTTTTCACATCCTAACAGGACTTGTAACCAACACACTGAAGTATCCACAAGTCCTCCAAGAATGCAGTGGTATATCAGTGACAGTTAACATGCCAAATGGTTTTTAATTACCATTCTTTACTGAAAGATACCAAATCTTCTTGTAGAAAATTCTGATTCCGGGTCTGGAGCAAGGAAAGTACAAGATGAACTTGGAACATCTGATTATCCCAGGAAGTATGTAAATGCCTAAAAAACTATGGGGACATATCAGAAGCACATTTTTTTTGTTGTTTTTAAAAAGCCATCTAGAAAGGGTTCCCACTGACAAGATCTGAAACAATTTGAGCAACAAAATTAATAAGAGAAAGAAAGACATCTACCATTGTCAGATACTGCACTGTTGAAAGGACAAGACTATGATCCCTAATAAAAGTGGAAAGGAGACTGCACACAAAGGAGTCCTGTGGTTTCATCAGCCTTCTGCCTGGAGCCACTTTCTGGACTATAATACAAGAAGGGAAAGCCCAGGCAGAGTGCAGAGGATTCTGAGTTGAGGAGACAGAAATATGAGTTCAAGAAGTCTGAGGTGCCTGAGATTTGCAGGACAGGGTGTCAGAGAGGAGAAAGCTATGAAGAAAAGGAGCTCAAATAATATGCATAGGTGCCCCCTTGACTCTGTTGGTGAATACTAAGCTGAGAATGTATAGGATGAGACTCCACATGGCCAGGCAAAGATTCTCTGGGAACTGTAAAGTTAGCAATTTCCAGAGTTTACACAGGGCTGGGAGAATCTGAGTTCTAGCCTACCTGAGTGGAGAGACCTCAAGGGTCATGGCTTACTAATAGCACTAAAATAGGTGTAAGCTCCTTGGGGCCCATTTTAACAAAGCTTAATTAAACAAGCCCCAAAGGATCAGGCAGATATGCATACAACTTAACTGTTAGCCAAAAGAAAGGAAGGAGGGGAGGATAGGAGGGAGGAAAGGGGAAAAATCAACACTGTTTAAAGGAAGACAACAAAACCTCGACACTGAATAACATAGTATTTACAATGCCCAGTGTCTAATAAAAATTATTAGGTATACAAAAGAGAATAAAATATGGCCCATAATCCAAAGAAAAGTCAGCTAATACAAAAAACAAAACAGAAATGGCATAAATGACATATAAACAGATATGACTGAAGCATGCATTTTAGAGTTATAAATATGCTCAAGGATTTAAAGAAAAATATGAATAAAATAAAGAGAAAATGGATTTTTTTTTTAAAGAATTAAATGGAACTTCAAAAATTCATGGATGGGCTTAACAGCAGATTGGAAACTGCGGAAGAAAAGATCAATGAACCTGAAGACATAGCAATATAAATGAATCAAACTGAAACAGGAAAAAGACTGAAGACATTAGTTTGTTTGTTTTTTTTTTAAGTAACCAGAGAGAGAGAGAGAGACATTTCTACTTCTGCCATGAAAGACTAACTGGTGGGGTGCCTGGGTAGCTCAGTCATCAAGCGTCTGCCTTCGGCTCAGGATATGATCCCAGGGTCCTGGGATCGAGCCCCACATCCGGCTCCCTGCTCAGCGGGAAGCCTGTTTCTCCCTCTCCCACTCCCCTTGCTTGTGGTCCCTCTCTCGCTGTGTCTCTCTCTGTCAAATAAATAAATAAAATCTTAAAAAAAAAAAAGACTAACTGGTACTGGAATTACCTTCTTACTGTAAACAACTAGAAATTGGGCAAGATATATGTAATAACTATTTTCAGAAATTGGGTCATAGGCAGAACAGGACTGTGATCCATTCATATTGAGCTATGCACACTGTCAAACCAAAAAGGGGGGATACAGGAAAAAAAAAATGAAGAAATAGGCTGAAATTTTTCCACATTTGATGAAAACTATAAATCTACAGAGCTGTGGATCTCAACAAACCCCAAGCAGAAGAAACATAAAAAAACACATCTAAATATATCATATCTAATTGCTGAAAACCAGTGATAGAGAAAACGTGAAAGGCAGACAGAAAAAAGGTACATTAAGTACGGGGCACCTGGGGGGCTCAGTCATTAAGCGTCTGCCTTCAGCTCAGGTCATGATCCCAGGGTCCTGGGATCGAGCCCCACATTGGGCTCCCTGCTCGGCAGGAAGCCTGCTTCTCCCTCTCCCACTCTCCCTGCTTGTGCTCCCTCTCTCGCTGTCTCTCTCTCTGTCAAATGATTAAATAAAATCTTTAAAAAAAAAAAAGATACATTAAATACAAGGGAACAATGAAGGACTGTAGACTTGTCAACAGAAACCAGTACAAGGCAAAAGTCAATCAAATGTCATCTTCAACATGCTGAAAGGAAAAGCTGCCAAACTAGATTTGTACATACAACAAAAATATCCTTAAGAGAAATAAAGAATTTTTCAGACAAAAAAAAAAAAAAAAGTGAGGGAATTTTTCACCAGCAGACTTGCACTATAAGAAATACTAAAGGAAATGCTTCAGGTGGAATGGAAATTATACCAGAGAGATAGAACTGAAAGGAAATAGACAACAACAATAGAGTTTAAGATT